GTTAGAGTATCTTGTAATCAATTAGAGTAGAGAACACAGTAGCAAGACAGTGCAAAGTAAAGAAGCTGTAATCGGTTAGAGCTACCTGTAACCAATTAGTCGAGTTTTATCTCTCTTTTTGAATTTATGCACTAGAGGACAAAATAACAGCTATAAGTGTGTCAGAGGTTTTTTTAACAGTTAGAGACAATCTTCAATAGAAAAATCTGATGCCCTAAGTATAAAAGGAAGCTCCAACACTCAAAGAAAGTAGATTGAAAGAAAAAAGAACCATTTTGAGCAAAATGCTAAACTTTATTCATCAAAAACACTTGCTCTTCATTCTAAATCTATAAAAAGTGTTTGAGCTTAGTTGTAATATTTTCAGATTTGTAAAATGTCATAGTTTTACTTATTTTTCTTCTCTATCATGGAAAATTAGAATGTGAGAAGTACTCTAAAACTTGTTGTAAAGGATTATAGCTTAGGTTAGAAGCTCACTTTATAAAAGCTTGGTGGAAGTTGTTAATTCCACTGATATAGTGAAGTTGGATTGAAAATCCTTGATTGAGAATATCAAAATAGTGAATGTAGGTTAAGGGGATCGAACCACTATAAATAGCTTTGCATTGTCCACTTCTCTCTACCTTTCCTTACTTGGTGTCTTTTAACTACCATAAGTTTTATATCTATTTTCCTCTAATCGGTTAAAAGCTCTACCACTCAAAAAAGGCTGATCTTTAAATTTTTTAGTACTATTCACCCTCTCTTTAGCACTAAAACAGGATCAACACTTGGTTTGATCGTTTTAGATTATTCCTTCTTCCAATTTTCTTTTTACAATATTGTAAACCCCACTTTTTATTAAACACAACACACACAACATCGTCTATCTACTTGTATATGTTGATGAGATTTTTCTCATAGGTAATGATACAATGTCCTTGCATGATCTTATTCAAACATTAAACAAAAAATATTCTATGGGCAATCTTGGATTCATTCATTACTTTCATGGTAAAGAAGTTCATAAGTTTCATTAGGATCTTTTTCTCAATCAAACCAATATGCTAGAGAAATTTTTGACAAAGTTCAAGTGCTTGATTGTTAACAAATCTCTACTTCACTGACATCCAAAAATCTCTTCCCCACCACTAAATCTTTTGAAGATAACCATCTCTATTGAAGCATTGTTGACAGCTTACAATATTTAACATTAATTAAACCAAATATTTCTTTTAGTATTAATTATGTCTCTCAATTTATGCATTAACCCATCAAGCAAAAAAAAAAAGTTATATATTCATCCTATATCACTTTTAATTTGTTAAAAGAACTGTTAGATATGTGAAGATAACTATATCATTTGATATGCGACTAATATCTCAAAATCCCTTCGTTATTTGTGCTTATTCAGATGTAGGTTGGCCTGGACGTCCTTCCACACAACGTTCCAAATTTGGCTTTTGCAAATTTATTGGTGGTAATTTCATTCTTGGACTTCCAAGAAGCAATCCATAATGGCTCAATCTAATGCTGAAGCTAAATATCAAGCCTTAGCCTGAATAGCAGCAAACTCACCCGGCTATCCCACCTATTGCGTGATCTTCGTCTTTATATGGCTCAGCCAATCTTATTTTTCTGTGACAACATATTTGTTGCTTATATCACTATTGATCCTATGTTTCATACTTGAAAAAAACACACAGAGATTGACTATCAATTTGTTTGTGAAAAAGTGGCCCTAAGGATCTCTCAAAAGGCAAGTTCAATCCTTCAAAACTACAAGTAGCAGACATTCTCACTAAGAATTGATACACCATTTAGTTACAACATTGATCCTATAATCAGTCTCCCTATTGTTGGACAAAGTTCCTATATATAACAGATTTTATAACCTATTTAAATAAGAGGACAACCAATTAAGTTCTCAAGCTGCAATACCAGAAATTCATATGCTTTGTCTTCTTTTCCTTTTATGGCTACTATCTCTTTTAAACTATCTCTCTCCCTCTCTCTTTCTGAATTCCTCTCTCGCTTTCTCTCTTTTTAAAATTTTTCAACTATAAATGGTGTTGCATTTAAATGTGGTGTGTCCAAATGGCATGCAACTTTGTTAATTATTTATAGATAATTAATAAATATTCAATTAATTAATGTTGGATATTATTTTGATATTTCTTAATTGAAATATGAAAAAAAAAAGTTTGAGATAGGATATAAATTTAAATTTAATTTGTTTAAATTTAAATAAGAATTATCTATTCATTATATTTAAATTTAAATAACGATTAATTATATTTAAATTTAATTTGTTTAAATTTAAAAATAATATCTAAATTGTTGCTTTATTTGGATGGATGCCTCCTAACCTGTTACGAATGGGTAGGAAAGCACGTCTGTTAGATGATAATGAGGTCTTGTGGTGGAGGATTGTGCAATAATTGTCCTCAAAGCATATTTTACTCAGGGAATCATCCGGGCTATTAAGGGTCCAGAGATGGGGAGCTAATTTTTGGTTGAGAACAAACCAAGTGTTGAAGAGGCTACGAAAAACAAGATCCTTGAAAATGCTATTGAAGAGATCAAAACCAACACTTAAAAGTTGGTGGCCTATTAACTTTAAAAGATTCGATAGCTTAGGGATGAACTTGGATGGAAAATGCACAAAATAGATTCAACATTTGTGCATGAAAATTGTGGGAAAGTTATTGAGGATACAAGGAAGGAGGACATGAAGAAAAGTTTAGATATAGTTGGTGAGTTTCTAAAAATGATGTAATTGTAAAATCCAAAAATAAAAATCTCTTAGAGTTCTCACAAAATCCAATATCCCATATTGTTTTTTTTACAAGATTAACATTCATATATCAAGAGTGTAAATTAGAAAAAAAAAATATGGTATACGTTACATATATGTTTGATATGAGGTATATACGATTTGCTAATAGAATCAACGTATTTGGTAGGTTCGAGCAACATTATGCAATGATGTGGCAATGATTTTACTAGATTATCTTGCAAAGCATATAGTAAGAATTGAAATTCTACCTTAATTAGATTTCTTAGAAATTCTACAAGTGGGAAAATGCCATGTATCAAAAAATAAAAATAAAAAGGGGGCCGCCAGCGGCCTAGTGAGTTGCCATGGTACTCTGCCGGGGACCTTTTTTCTAATTTTTTTCCTTCGCTTTTTTTAATTCAATTTTTTTTAAAATTTTTTTTGAAAATTGGGATTTTTGGAATTTAAGGGCATTTGGGCTTCAAAGGTTAAAAAAGGAGTCAATTTTAATTGGGTGTCAATCTAGCTTGATCCAATAGCATAATGTAAATAAAAAAAAATAAAACTATATCGATGAAAACTTGCTCTAACAAATTGAAGTGTCCGTATTAGAAATTGTACAAGTGTAGATATGGCAAGTATAAAAAAAATGAAAATTAGTAAAGAGATATTTCCATTACATATGGTATATAATTAGAGAAAAAATATGGTATTTAATTAACTATACGTTACATTTTGTTGGATATGAGGGGTATATTTCTTGTTGATTGAATCAAACATATTTGAATGATATTTTGCAAGATTATCATGGGAAGCATTTGTCACAAAATTGAAACTAATGTACAATGGCTAGCATTGTTGTATATATAAAAGATGATCTTCAATATTGATTCTCAATAATCTTAAACATAACTCCTTTACTAATTTGGAAATTCTTATTTAGGTATGACTTTAATTGGATCATTATGAGAATATGGAAAGAAAAACATTTAATGTTGAAATTTCTTCAATAAATTATTTATATTTATGATTACTGTTAATGTCCAATAAATTATTTGATTTTATAATCAAAATTTTAAAATATAAAAGAGTAATTAAAGTATTAAATCACGTGCAGCATGCATGTAAGACAAAAAAAATTAGTTATATATAGAGGAGAATTCTTCGCTTCTCATCATATCAGCCCTTTTTCTAGACTTTTCTTCAACATTTCCTCCTCCCATGTATCTTCGTCTTCTTTCCCGTATTTCTCTTGCATAGATGTAGCATCTACTTCCATGCATTTCCCATCAACCCCATACATTGGGCATAAGATGTTTTAAGTTGAGAATCCACCAGCTTGGGAGTGGTGATCTTAATCTCTTTAATAGCATCAGTGAGCCTCTTGCTTTTTGTAGCCTCATCAACGTTTAAATTAGGTCTTCGCCTCTAGAGCCTCAATAACCCCCCCAAATTCGTCGAGTATAGTCAGCCTCGGTAACAAATATCTTTCCAACTTCTTCGATCGGGTCAACTTTTCAAAACCTTTGCTGAATCAGTCGAGTTCTTTTTCATGCTTTCACAGTATTTCACCTTTGATGAACCAAATTTTGACTTACCAGTACCATTAGAATTATTAGATTTGCCACCACTTTTCAGAAGGTTACCCTTAGAATTAGAGGAAATCTTGGGGGTTTCTTGCTTGGACTTGGCTGCCTTTGAAGCGCCTTGCTTTGACTTGGTGGAAGCTTTTGGTGTAACACTACCATCATCCTTTGATTTGGTAGACTTGGGTGCGTCGTCATTGTTCTCATTCTTGGATTTGTTGCCTACTTTTAAAGCAATGTCACCTAATGTTCCACCACTTTTGGGGTAGGATACTTGGCTTTAGTAGCAATGTCATTCTCTGGTTTACAGACACTCTTGGAGCCATCTTTGGATTTGCCATCCACTTTACTATCTTCCTATGTTTTGCAACTACACTTTGTGGCAGCATCCTTGGGTTTTCCAAACGAAGCTCCTTCACCCTTTTTTGTTGAATCATCCATCGTAATTTTCTTTGTTGGTTGACCAGATGATTTTGCTTTCATTTTTTGAGGCATGTAGATGAACCACCAAGACTTGGATGATCAGCTGCTTCTTCCTCATCTGACCAAGACTCATCTTCAATAAGCTCCCAGTTTTCTCTTTTAAGATTTAAAATTTCTTCATCACCATCATTATAGTGCACCTTGTGCTTCGTTTTAACAAGATCAAATGTATGAATAACACCTTCATAGAACGCACGACCTTTGACCCACTAGACCTTCACCTTCAAGCCAACAAGATTCTCACCTTATTCCATAGAATCGAATGCTTTTTCTTTACTTTGGGAATGCTTTCTCTTGGAATTTGTCTTAAGGGTCTCCTCCATGCGAGAATCATCTTTGTTTGGCTTCACCGACTTTTGAGAAGCAACCATTTCCTTATCATAATTCATACTTAAACCTCTTGTGTAATCACGTAAACTACACAAGAATAAGGTTCTCTTCGTGATGGATACAACAGCAACAGGAAAAATCGAAACTTTTGATGGACCTTACAACTCATTTTCATGGCAAAATCATCAACTCAGAAAATATTCTAGTTTTGCTTTAAAGGGATAGAGATTATTATCCTCAAAGTGACTAAGGAAAAGTCTTGTAAGCTTCAAGCAATGTTTATTCCCGAGGCGGACTATGCCTGAGGAATTAGGAGGGTTATCGAGCTCCGGAAATGAAGAATTGCTTCATGGCTGAAAATAATACAAATGTTGATGAGCCTACAAAAAGCAAGACACTCGCTGACGCTATCGGAGAGATTAAAATTGGTAGATTCTCAACTTACAAAAGATCTAATGGTTAAGAAATGAGCTTGGACGGGAAATGAACAGCCTTAATCTTATATCTGTGCATGAGGAATGCCAAAACAATGCTGAGGTTACATGGAAAGAAGAGGTGCTGAAGATAAGTCTAGAAATAGTGTGTGAATTTCCAGAGTAACATATAACAACTGCGCCTATTAGTTAGCACGGTACAGAATCACCATAGGCAGTGCTATTATTGTTTATACACCTATTTTTTTGTCAGTGGACAGTACAATATTATTACTTTTTGGCATAATTCTCAAATAAATTCTTAAACTATTCAAGAATATTCAAATAAGTCTTTATTCTGTTATTATGGTTAATCAAACTTTTGCATCTTTATTTTGTGTAAAATAAGCTCTTATAACTAATGAATAATTAATTATCATTAGTAAAAATATTATTTGTTATTTTATATTCACATGGTATTGACATGAAATTGATGTAAAAGATGAAAAATATATGATCATATTATTATGCTAAATTAACTTATCATGCCATCGTCAATTATAGTGTGTCAGTAAGCCACATCATAATCAATTATAATATTTTAACATACCACATTAACGTATGCGACATATAATAACAAGTAATATTTTGACTGAATCAAGTGTTAATCACAAAGGCTTATTTGATTCAAAATAAAATATATAAAAATTTATTTGACTCAAAATAAAAATATAAAAATTTGATTGAATATTATAAAAATATAAAGATTTATTTAGATTTTTTTGAATAATTTAAAAGTTTTTTTTTTTGTATATTATGCCCTAAATTTTGTGTAAGAAGAGACTAATTGCTTTTTGAGTGACTCTTCGTGGCAATTGTACAAATTTCTTACACCAGAACTGATTCTGTATGCCACAGGGAGTCTCAAGCCGACAAGACCACTGCCTTGTTTTGGCATAACGGTTGTGAGAGTAATAAAATTGTTCAAGGACATAAATGTCCACGTTGCAATTCCATTAAGAATTCGTCCATGTGTCTCCGACCCAAAGACTTATCTCTCCGCATTGAGGCTCAACTTCAACCTTAATTACTTAGCAGAATTTGTCTAGCCCATAAAACTTGAGCATTTCTTGTCCTCTTTTTTTTTTGGTGTAACTTGTAATTGTGATTAGTGCAAGATGTTGTTCATCTTTCTCAATAACTTGTAATTACATGGATGCATGCGCACATATATTTAGCTTTTCAATGTTCTAATAAACTATTAGATATGAATAAATAGGTGTTTAAACAATTGAGAAAGGAAGAATAACTATTTTACAACTTAAAAATGCGGCAAATATGGGAACAATAACAAACAATAAAGGAGTTGTCTTTTTTTGACTCTATGAGGAATAATTTCTAATATGCAGAAAAAATTCTTAATATGTTTCAAAACCTTTAAATATACTTAATTTTTAAATAAAAGTAATTATAGCATATACAACAACATTTTTCTACCCTTGGCAGTCACTTAGAGCAATTTAATCCTGAATTTTAGCATCTCTCATTCCAGCATCAACCTTCCCACCATCTGCTCCCAATTTATTAACGACAACAAGATCATTAAATCCACTACCGTCTTCCTCAACAACATAAACTAATGTTCTCCTTGCAATGTCAAAGGCTAGTGCACCTTTATCACTTATAACTTAGCTTTTGGCATCAACTCAAACAAATTCAGATAATATAACTATTAGATCTAGGAGCGACATTATCAAACCAAACCCCAGGTACTTATATCTAGCATACACATTCCTAACTCACATACCCTATGAACCTAAAACACTCATAACTGCCCTTCAACATGCAGGATGACTAGCTGTAATCCAAAAAGACATTGGAGCACTTCATGCTAAAGACACTTTGGAGCTTGTTCCATGAACATCTGATATGAATGTCATTGGAAGTAAATTGATTTATAAGACAAAACTTAAGTCAAATGGCACTTCAGAAAAATTGAACGTTCGGTTGGTAGTAAAGGTGTACTCCCAAGTGTAGGGCTTAGACTTTTCAAAGACCTTTTTTCTTACCATTAAACATGCTACTATGAGGGTTGTTCTTACTATTGCTTTAACACATAATTGGGATATTAAACAATTAGATGTAACGAATGCCTTCCATGCCACCACGTCTAAACCTATTTACCTTGAGCACCTAAATTTCAAGACACTAGCCTCAATGTTTGCAAACTAAAGAAGGCATTATATGGTCTCTGCCAAGCTCGATGTGCCTAGTTTGATCATTGTAGCTTATTCCTTTATCAATTGGTTTTTCTTGTAATATTGTAGAGTCTTCACCCTATATTAAACACAATAAACACAACATCATCTATCTACATATATATGCTGATAAGACGCTTCTCAAAGGTAGGGATATAAAGTCTTTGCATGATCTTATTCAAACATTAACCAAAGAGTTTCTACAAAAGATCTTGGATTCATTCATTACTTTCTTGGTATCAAAGTTCATAAGTTTCTTAAGAATCTCTTTCTCAATCAAACCAAATATGCTACTAAACTTCTTGACAAAGTTTAAGTACTTGATAGTAAACCAAATTTCTACCTCATTACCATCCAAAAATCTTTTCCCCACCACTGAACCTTTTAAAGATCAACATCTCCATTGAAGCATTGTTGATAGCTTACTATAATTAATATTAACAACACCATATATTACTCTTAATGTTAATTATGTCTCTCAATTTATGAATTCACCCTTTAAATATTACTGTCAACTTGTTCAAAGAATTGTTAGGTATGCTAAGAGTATTGTATAAATCGATATTTAACTAATATCTCCAAATCCATTACTTATTTGTGTTTATTCAAATGCAGGTAGGGCTAGATGTCCTTCCATGCAATGATCCAGAATTGGCTTTTGCACATTTCTTGGTAGTAGTTGCATTTCTTGGAGTTCCAAGAAGTAATCCATAATGGCTCGATCTAGTCTCGAAGTTAAATATCAAGCTTTAGCCTCAATTGCAACAAAACTCCCATAGCTGACCTACCTATTGCGTGATCTTCGTATCTATATGGCTCACCAAGCCTTATTCTTATGAGACAACATATTTGCTACTCAAATCACTATTAATCCTATGTTTCATACTTGAACAAAACAAAAAAAGATTGACTATCACTTTGTTCGTGAAAAGGTGGCCTTAAGGATCTCTCAAGGGCAAGTTCATTCCTTCAAAACTAAATGTAGCAGACATTCTCACTAAGAATTGATGCACCATTCAGTCACAACATTGACCCTATAATCACTCTCCCTACCGTTGCATAAAGTTTCCTTGTATAACAGATTTTGTAACCTATTTAATCAAGAGGACAACTAGCTAAGTTCTCAATCCACAGTACCAAAAATTCATATACTTGTCTTCTGTTTCTTCTCTGGCTACTATCTCTCTTTAACTCTCTCTCCCTCTCTCTTTCTAAATATTTTCAACTAGAAATGGCAACATCGTAATCATTGTTGACGGCTGAAATCCCTATTTAGAGAAGCCCATGGAGGATCCAAATATTAAGTTCCATGAAAATCTTGATTGTTGCTTTATTTGGATGGATGCCTCCTTGCCTGTTATGAATGGGTAGGAAAGCAAGTCGATTAGATGATAATGACGGGTCTTGTGGTGGAGGTTTGTGCAATAATTATCGTTGGAGAATCATTCAGGCTATTAGGGATCCAAAGATGGAGAACTATTTCTCGGCTGAGAAAAAACAAAGTGTTGATGAGGCTATGAGAAGCAACATCCTCAAAAATGTTATTGAAGAGATCAAAACCAACACTCGAAAGTTGGTAGAATCTTAACTTCAAAAGATTCAACAGTTAGGAATGAACTTGAACGGAAAGTGCATATTTCGTTTTTACAAGATTTCTCACAACATCCAATATCCCATATTTCTTTTTTTGCAAGATTAACATTCATGTATCAAGAGTGCAAATTAGAGGAAAAATATGGTATACGTTACATATTTATTTGATATGAGGTGTATATTTCTTGGTGATAGAATCAACATACTTGGTAGGTTTTTCCAACATTATGTAATGATGTGGCAAAGATTTTGCTTCTTTATCTTGGGAAGCACATATTAGGTACGAATTGGAAATTAACTTAGAATGGCTAGCATTAATGACAATATAAAAGATGATCTGGAATTATGATTCTCAATAAAACTCACTTTTTTGGAAGAAAGAGGAAAATGTAAAAATCACTTTTATCTATTTTTTGATAAGGTTTCCTTCTAGAGTTCCTTGCATTTATGCTAATTTGTTGGCAAGAATGCAGAGAAATGGTATGAAGGCCTATATATACATATTCACACTATAGGTCTATATATCTTCATATTCTTGATTGTTCACAGTTCAGGTCAGTCTCTCATATACTGAAACTTACTTCTTCAAGTTTGTTAGTGTTTGAAATATGATAGAATAGCTTCACAAAATCACAAATAACATGAATAATTCCTTCCATTTTACTCTAGATATATTTGAATTGCTTCAAGGAGGATTATTAGCTCCTTCATTTTAATATCTCAACTCCTTTAGTAATTTTTAAAAAAATGTCATGTCCATGTGATCACTGTCAGTTTTATGTAAGGGATGATTTCGTTCTTATTCTCCTATAAAATTTTTGTTTTTAAGATCATGTTTCATGTATACAAGTTGATTTCCTTGGATTTGTTCACCATTCCATTGATTTGTTTACCTTTGAATATATAAATGCACAGAATGAAAGGTATAATATGGTTATTCAAATAATTGGTGCATGCAGAGCTCGGGAAGGAGAAGAAAAGACTACAAGTCAAAAAAGCGAAAGGTGAAAGTTTGAATCTAGCTGGTTAGTTTAAATGCCTAATCCATGCCTAAACTTCGTGTAATGATCACCTAAAATGAGCTATATGATTTATTGACTAGAAAACTTTCAAATCACAACATGAATATCGTTGCCTGGCGATTTGAGATTGAGTATTTGTTTTATTCTGTTGTCTTCTTTTTTCTGTTTAAGATTAATTCTAATTACACATAAATTTTTTCGACTAAGAACAAGAGTTTATAAGGAAAATTCTTGTAGTATGATTGCCGATGAAGAAAAAAAAAATTAGAGAAGCATGAATGGCTGTAGGTAGCTAGTGTTTACTTTTGTGCTTGCTTGGTTGAAGATGATTATTGTGGCTTATGTTGTATTTAACATTGGTATTGGGTGGTTCCACTCATTGTGTCAATGTTTTGGTGATTAAAAGTCTGATGGTTATTATGCTAGTTCTCTTAGCATTTTAACATTATACAAAGCGAATTGAAAGATTTTAAGTTAATCGTAAATTCTATCTTAAACTTTATATATTTCTTATACAGTTTAAACATTTTACAAATTGCGCGTATTTAATTGAGTGTTATAGCTTGTGTTATATATTGCATCTCAAAACTGTTGACTTTTCATGCTTGTTTTCCCTAGACTTTTTGAAACAACAATAATTAAGTATTTGCGATTAATTTTCTTTCATTATTGTCATTTTTATCATAACTACTTAAAAATTTTGAGCTAATGTATGAACAAATTTACTATTTTTTTATCTTAAGTACTTAAAAGACGAATTGAAGTACACAAATATTCATAGTTTTATATGTAGGTTACATGAAAACATGAAATGTCGCTAGATCATTTGTATTTATATTTTCTACAAAATTTAATGTTTGTTAAAAATAGCCTTCGTCAACTCTTATGGCAGCCAAATAACAATGAATACCATTGGTTCTACTTCTGCTCAACACCAAAATGAGAAGAATAAGGTTATCTTTGTAATGGGTGCAAAAGCAACAGGAAAATCCAAACTCTCAATTGACCTTGCAACTAGGTTTCATGGGGAAGTCATTAACTCGGACAAGATCCAAGCATTCAAAGGGCTAGATATTATAACAAACAAAGTCACCGAGGAAGAGGCTCGTGGTGTGCCACATCACTTGATAGGGATTGTGGATCCTGAAGGAGATTTTACTGTTGATGACTTCTGCCATCATGTGCTGAATTAAAGCCATTGATTCAATTTTGAAGAACGGTCATATCCCCATCATTGCCGGTGGATCAAATTCCTACTTAGAGAAGCTTGTTGAGGATCCAAGTATTAAGTTTCGAGAGTATTATGATTGCTGTTTTATTTGGGTGGGTGCTTCCTTAGCTGTTTTGTACGAACGGGTAGGAAAACGAGTGAACGAGATGGCAATGAATGGTCTAGTGGAGGAAGTTCGAGCGGTATTTGTTCCCGGGGCTGACTATACCCGGGATATTAAGAGAGCAATTGGGGCTCCAGAAATGGAGAACTACTTTTTAGTTGAGAACAACATCAAGGTTGATGAGGCTACCAAGACAAAGATCCTTGCTAATGCTTTTGAAGTGATTAAAATCAACACCGGAAAATTGGTAGATTCCCAGCTCCGAAAGATCCAACGGCTGAGGGACAAGCTTGGATGGAAAATGCACAGAATTGACGCCACATCTGTGCATGAGAAACATGGGAAAGATGCTGAGGATACTTGGAAGGATGTGGTGTTGAAGAAAAGTCTCGAAATAGTGGGTGACTTTCTATAGCAGGAAATGGAGGAGTTCTCTAATTAATATGTAAGTTATATTTTGGGATATAAATTCTACAATCATTTCATTTTACAATAAACAATATTTATGTTCTATGCATGGTTCGAATAGGAGAAAGGCTTATATATTCTCCTATTCTATTTATATTAAATTTAATTAAGAGGGGCTATGTCCATTTGTGATTGTCTTAGCTTGTAGAGCCTTTCCATCTAATCAATTTTTTCCTCTAATATGAATATGAATAGCTTACAAAATTGTAGTAGTGTTTATTTATCTCTTAAAATACAAGACTTTCATTTAGGGTTTATATGAAGAACCGGATAAGTTAGTTAAAAAATACTATTAATTGATAACGGCTTGCATACACATTTTAATCAAATTAACTGAATTTATCTATTAATTGAGTTAATCGATTAACTGACCTAAACCAGTTAATAAATACAATTTTAATCACATTTGGCCTTACCTTTTTATATAATTTGACCGTCGACTGCATAGGAAAGTAATTCCTAGAAGAAGTCCTTATTAGCCAAGGCAAATATTCATCATTCTAATTTCACAACCTTCGCACAAAAAGTGACAAAAAAAAAAGTCGACAATATTAATTAGCGGAATATAGACTTTGTATATGATATGGAAAAGATTACAGCAGTGAAGCCAACAAAAATTAGAAAAATTTGACAAAGCAAAAAGATAAATGAAAGATGGACACTCCAACAAGATGCATAAGGCAAACAAGGATTATTATATCTGCCTAAATTTTAAAGCAATGTATAAGTAAAAGACTAATTGTGGTCAACAGAATCATAGTTTTATGTGTAAGATTTTTTTTTTGAGCAAATTCCCTAATATACCAATAATGAATGCAGAATTAGATGCTCAGAATTGCTGTGATTCTTACTAGTAAAAATCCTAATCCAGATTCAAGGGTGCCAATAACTACATGATTCTCCCTTCTTGCAATGCCCGCATTCATAAAATTTAGAAACTCGCTGCCCTTTGGGCAGAGGTATGAAAGAACCGACTCCATGTGGACCACCGTACGACGACAACTGCCTATTCCATAAGGACCTGCCCCTATCAAAACTTGAATCTCTGCCTTGAAAATCACGGTCCCTCGGACCAACGTCCCTTTGTTGGCTTCCCCAAATATGGCGGATTCCCTACAGAAGTGCCTGAATTGATACTGCCGTTCTCCTGGAATGTTTTCCTGGCTGTTCTCGTAGGTTTACATATTAGAGGATCCTTGACCCTAACCTCTGATTCTTTGAACTGCTCCCCAATTTGGTCTTGTAGTTTTGGTCCGTCTCAAGCCCATTATCCAAAGACCATGGCCCTATTGTTACCAGGTGGGTCGCAGCCCATGTCTAAGCTATCTTTTCACTGGACTCTTTCCATTCCAACGAATGCATCACTAGAAATAATAAATATTTAGATAAAATTCAAATTTGCATTTCCTTGAACTGCTCCCCAATTGTGCTTGTAGTTTTTGGTCCGGATCTCCAAGCATTATCCATAGCAGCCATGCCTAAATTGTTACAGGTGGTGCAGCAGGCTACATGTCTGAACCAGCTACATATTGGTTAACTGAGACGTCAACTAGGCCTTGGATCTTCATCCATGTCAACACCTGTGGAAGAATGACCGTCAGAACTCTTCTGAGCATCGAGTACTTCAGACTGTGAGACCCCAAATGGCTCGTTGGTCACAGTTGACTGAGAAGGCTTTTGTAGATCATTTGTTGAGCTCAAAGCATTGCTTTTTCCTGGATCAAGTGTAGGGTTCAGTCCTCTTATAGGACTAAAACAATCAGGCTCAGAACCTTGAGCCAACTCTCCATCACAACGTAATATTGATGTAGGTGAAGCCAAGCCAGTAAGAGACTCCATTGCTTCGACTCTAGCCAAGAGATCTGAAACTGATTCATCACTCAAAGAATACTCGTTGTGTTCGGGAACAATTGAATCCAAACCAGATGGGTTGTTTGCAAGATCTGTGGGAGAAGAATGTGTCAATTGGCCATTTCCTGAAGTTGGAATAGCAGCATGATCACTTGCCAAGTCGTTTGGTTTCAAAGAATATTCAGGCACAAGATCTGAGCCCCATTCCTTCGCGGAAGGTTTCGCTGGAGTGGAGGAGTACCTACCCAATTCACCAGCTACTCCAGGAAGCTGTGGTCCATTACCCACTAGACTAGAAGCCGTACTCCAGCTAGGACTTGAATCCTGATGAGGGCCATTCGAAGACAGAGATTGTTTGTTTTCAGTAGCTTGACCTTTTGAGTCGTGGCTCAACTTTGATGTTGAGATAGGAAAATCTGGGAAATAAATACCCCGATTGCGTTCTGATGCTTCAAGAGCCTTAGCCAGAGAAATAAGACAAGAATTGGGGTCCCATCCATATGAAGAATCATGCAAAGGTGGAGATCGCAAGCTTCGCCCACAAGATTTTCCTGATTTTCCCTCACTGTCATCTTGCTTCACATTTCCAGCAATAATTTGACCTTTAGAGGTTTGGTTCAAATTCTCATTCATGTTAATCGAACCATAATCCCATCTTTCAACCCCATGACCCTCGCTCAGTTGACGAGACTGAGTTTTTCATGGCTCCCTAGATAATGTAGATGAGGGAAGTGAACTACTCAATTGGAGCTGGCCAGGGAAGTTATGATCACCCTTCATAGAGTCTCGATGTGGTAAAGAGCTTGCTGTCTGTGCTGCATTGGAATTGACCTACAGGAACAGTACAAGGAGAAGATTGAGAGCCGAATTCTTTGCTCTTTGTAGATTCATTGTTACCACAACAGTAATCACTTGTGTCATTATGGATTGAGTTCAAGCTCCTCAGCCTTTTTATTTTACGTCTTATTCACTCTCATATCCCTGTTCTCCTTAATGTCGTAATGTGCGAGTCCAATAACCCGACCATTAAACGTGAAAAATGCTGGAAGTCGTCACCAAGTTTTTATGTTTAGGTACAATTGGTCACCTAATGATTTCGTTTTAATCAATGAGGTCCTAAATTGATTTTAGATGCGTCAAAAGAATAATAAATTAATCTGTGAATTTTAGTGTGAGTTTGGGAGTACGATTACACGGGAAATAATTAATATTCTCGTGACACCCATTCTACGAACGGTATCATTTAATTATATGTTATCGTATAGTAACTTTAACTTTGATTTTATTCTTATGCTTTCCTTATCTTTGTTTATTTATTTTATTCTTTATTTTATTAGCAAATTTAAGTATTTTATTTAGTTTTACAGGTGCACATGATACAATTATGAAATGATATCATAATTTTTCAATTTTAAATAATGGAAAACGAAAGCCTTGCATCAAAAAATTATTCATAAAGTTTAGAAGTTTTCCTCAGCTAAAGATGTCTCCAAAAGAACTCATCTTTACAAATCTTTCGAAGAAATCCCATTATCGAAGTTCTCGTCCTATTAACAAAATAAACATGTCATATGCTATGCCAAAATAAAATTATGAATGTTGTCGCATGAACACGTTTATGAACATAATTTTGTTCATAACAATTTATATAATAATATATTTAATGGTTTAATGTAATTTACTACCTTATTTATCTTTATTATATATCTTTTAAAGAATGAACTATTTAAATCGATAATTTTTAATTAATTTTATAAGTTATTATTACTTTATTTTTTGAACTATTTTTTTATTGAATAGACAACTAATCTTTTATTTGGCGACAATTGTTTGAATTAATTAATAACTATTTCAATTTTAATTTTAGATAAAATATTATATGAATTTATTTCTTTATGAATTTTAAGGTAACTGCTTGAATTAACAGAATATTGGAATACAAAATTAAGATTTATCCTGATACTTTGGAGAAAACCCTAATTAAATTCCATTATTAGGAAAGTCATCCCAAAAATAAACAGCTCTTTACCCTTTTGTGTGAAATTCCATCATCAGAATTAATCCAAAATAACCATTATATTTTTATATTATATCATTTTTTCTTTTTCTATTTATATATATATATATATATATATATACACACCTATATGTATAAATTTGTATAGCCAAATATTTCATTTCTATTACCTTCCTAAATTATTCTTATTTATGATTAAATATATTTATTTTCCTTATATTTTCTTCCATTTATAAAAGTCTATTTCTTTACAACTAGGCATGTTCCATTTTTCTATTTAAATCTCCTTTTTCTGCTAAACGTTTCTTTATTTTCTATATTTTTACTTTGACTAAATCTATCACCATAATTTTTTTTTAATTTAGACATTTACTTTCTATATATATATATATATTCAACTTACCTAAAACTGTATATCTTTTTATAACTAAATATTCATTTAAGTTTATGTTCTTTTATAACTAACCATATTTAAAACATTTTTATTATTTTTATTACGATTATTTTTTTATAGTTTTCTATTTATTTTATTTTCCTAACTCTATTTGTAACATTCATACTACAAACATATTTTCCGCTGTTTATTATTTTATAAATATATTTATATCATTGCAAAACAATATTAAAATGCTCATAAAATTAACACTAACATCAATATGCCAACCCAAATAATTAAAGGTCCAGAACATACCTAAACTCTGAGCCCAAAACAGATCTAACCACAAGAGAGCTCGCAAGCCTACTTCAAGTGGCCCAACTACTTCCTATGAAACGCATCGTTTAAGTGCCTAAGGAAAAGAACTTGCTTCTCTTAAAACGGCGTCATTCCAAGTTTCCCTTTCAGCACCAAACCAACATCAACAAAACAATGCCATTTTGCCCATTTTATGCCTAGGTATATAAACCCCTTTTTCACTTTCCCTCTTCACTTTCCCTTCCCACTTTCTCTCTGACAGCTAAACCTTCTACCTTCTCTCTACCAGAACACTCTCATCTCTTTTCCTCTCTCGATTTTCAAAACCAGCTTTCTCCTTTCTTTCTCTCCCCACAAACCATCGGAAAGCCTCAAAATTTTTATCTCTCTAACTCCCTCTCTCAAATGTTGATTGAACCTTAACTATCCTAACCCAAAAAAAAAAAAAAACCCAACATCCACCCTACTACAGACCCCTACTATATTTTTTATGGTGTTTTATTTCCTTTTTTGGTGATTTCTTGGTTTAGTTTTTTATTGCCGGT